TATTGGACACCGACTACATCACGGTAGGAAACAGATAGGGGAGAAGCTTTGGGCTCTGGTGTCTAGATACCAAGCCACCAAAGGTGTTGACCTAAAACACAAACATGGGAGGCATGTGTCCAGACAACCTCCTTATTCAGAGGTGGATGTAGACGGGTCGGTAGCCACACTGTTGGTGTCTAGCATTAGCATATACCGTACTGATCAAACAAAACATTGATCCCTTTGCTTAGTCATTTTTTCCACAATCAGGAAGAACCCAAACACCTCCAGACTGGAAGTGAGCAACAGGTCAGGAAGGAATGCCATAAAACCCCATGGCACAGGTGAGAGATAAAAACATCATAAATCCAGTCATAAATACATCACCGGTTTGATCTTTTTGATTTACACACCCCACTGTCATGTCAGTCAGGGGTGACAGGACCCCGGTGACATGGCAGTCAGGGTGACAGAGGGGTCATATAGCCATAAATCAGATCATAAATCTGACCATGTACACATTTGACATATGACAACCTGTCAATCAACGCTGACGGGGTCATAAATCAGGTCATAAATCATCAATCTGACACAAAGTCTATGTTATAACTACTTGCGTGCAATTTAGCACATTAATTACTTTAATATTCTGGGCTATTCTGCTTGTCTGTAAATAGTAGCCTATGATTTATTACAGTTTTTCTGAATTGCTAAAACACTAAACCGCAATCTCTGAACCAAATTCTCACTAGCTTAAACCAATTTGTCAAATAAAGCACTCTTTCTGCTAAACCTTAAACACGTTCAGGCAGTTAGGCCCTATTTGCAAATCTCATGCACTCTTTGCAAAACTCTAAACACATTCTCATTCACTTAAACACACACTGTGATGCATTTGTGCTGGAAAATGCTAAACACAAGCGGCAAAAGTTAAACACAACTAAAGCACAGTTATCATCGTTTACACACAACGATTCAAAATTGTTCACACTTGTTTCTAATGATGTGATCAAACCAACTGTACAAAATATGAGCCAGTTCAGAGTGCACAGGTGACTGAATGATGATACGAACAACAGATTGAAACAATCTGAGAAGGAGAGGAGGAAGAGTACATGTAAGAAGTGGAGGATGAGGAGGAAGAGGATGAGGAGAAAAAGAGTAAGGCTTAGAGAGTGTTATCAAGGATTGATCTGTCAGACTAGAGGGTTTTTTCTCTTTGTCTAGCAAAAAAGACAGCATTACTTGTTATGTGGACAAAGTCCTCAGGCCGGACTCAAGCACAAAGACATGATGCTGAGACAGAATGAATCTCTCATTGACCCTGATTTTACAACTTACAGTATTTGAGTGTACTCTAACATGCTGTTTATTTAGAGTTTTATTTGACCTTTTTGGCCTTTGTAGTTGGACTGCAGTATTTTTGCAGTATCCAAGTGCTGAATATATACAAAAATTCAGTACTATTCAATATTCAGCACAATACTATTCTTGCAGTACATACAGTAGGCCTATACAATATATTCACCTTACTCAGTTGCCATTACTATACTTTTTTACAGAATTGCAAAATTGTTTACTCAATACAATATACTTTTTTCTGTATGTTCTGGATGCGGTGTTATCCATTTCTCTGTAGTGTCTAATGAATGCTCTGTAGTGTTTATTTTATTGACTCATGTGGCCATAGCTCATGATGCGAAAACAAGAAAAAGGCGCCTAAACTAGAAAGACCAAAGAAATCCAGTTTGAAAGTTGACGCCCACTATTGTTGAGTGACATGCCGACAGCCATAACCCTGAAAATGAAATGTGGAGTAAATAAATAAATAATTTTTTTATGCATTTAATTATTTAATTATACATCTATTGATTTATTTATATATTTCAACATTTATTTAAAGCTGCAGTCTGTAACTTTTTTTGGTTAAAAATGATCCAAAATCAATACTTGAGCAAGTATATAACCAGCCAGTGTTCAAAACTATCGCCTTACTTTAGCCCGATTCACAATGGTTAGCTTATAATAATGTTTTCTAATTTGAGTGGTACGGATAGGTTTTCGCGGGAAATTCGAGCATGGCACTGCAACATTACGTCACGTCTGTAAAACATAAAGAAGTTGTCCTGGCTACTAGGCTATCGCATGTGAGGATCCTGCAGGTGGCGGATCGTTTATAGCCTTTTCTCACAGCAGCCAGAATAATTAAATGTATCATTTTGATGGCGGATTGTAATCCATAAAAGATTATGTGTTTATGAAACATGTAGCCTAAGTGATTGAAATTAGATTATATTCTAGTTTTAAATGTGCATCTGATTACAGATAGCCTACGTGGGATTACACAAACTTCCCGTTCTAAGGAAGAATCATTTGCTTTTTGTGTTGAAAGAAGATTCGAATGGTACGACAATGGTAATGACTGTACAGAAACTGAAATCTACATGTAATGCTAATACACACACATAGTCACGCAATGCTGATGTTTTTTGAGAACAAAGTATAACAAAAATAATTTGCACGGTTTGATGTGATATGAGCTAACCGATTGTTAGCGCAATTTATTGTAATGCTTTTTTCCCCTCAGTTGGTCAGAACAAAAGTGGCAGACTTGTTACTTACTCGTTCAGATGACAATAACAGGTGAAAATTCTTATTTGGGTCATACTCCAAAGGCTAGAATGATTCCTAAGTACAGTGTCCAAACCAGTGCGGTGTCTGACAGCCACACATACTCCCTTAAAAACATTAGATTCATCCGCTCTGGAGCCGTGCCGGTGCACCACGTAATTAAAATAATTCTGCAAATAACTGCAGTTGCAGGTTTCAAACAGAGATGGCGGCAAAGAGGTAAAACCTACAGACTGCAGCTTTAATGAAACATTACAACGGCAACACGCACCAATAATTCAAGCACAATAAGCTTCATTTGTACATTATGAATGAATGATGATGCACTTATATAACGTCACCGTCACTCACAGCCGTGCGCACGTGTTTTGCGCATGAGCCGCACGCAGCCCAAAATTAAACGACTTAATTGACCATCGATAGCTTTAATCGATTGCGTCTCTTATCGACAATTAATCGATCATCGATTAATCAGTGACATCCCTAGTTTGATGTGATATGAGCTAACCGATCTTTAGATTTAATCACCATTGGTATCAAGATTTATGGTAATGCTTTTTTCCTCAGTTGGTCAGAACAAACGTGGCAGACTTGTTACTTACTTGTTCAGATGGCAATATACGGTGAATATGCTTATTTGCGTCATATTCCAATATGTAGGCTAATCTTTGATTGCGAAGTACAGTAAATATCCACACCGGTGCGGTGACTGACTGCCACATATACTCTTCAGAACATTAGATTCATCCGTGCTGGAGCCGTGCCGACTCACAACCCCCGCAAGCTAGATAATTCCGCACACAGCTGCAATTCCAGGTTTTCAAACAGAGATGGCGACAAAGAGGCAAAACTTACGGACTGCAGCTTTAATGATTTAATTTTGAGTAATTTGGCCCTCCATAGAAACGAAGACTGCAAATTATAACATCCAAGTGAAAGATATGACACCAACATGTCAGAAAATAATAAAAAACCATAATCACTGAGTTGGAAAAAGGATCACCCCCTCTTAAAGCTGGGTGATTCTTTTCTATACCAACTGTAAATACCTGCTGCTGTCATTGTCCTTAATGGTAATCAAAGCAACAAAACACAACTTTAACAAAGATTAATCTATATTTAATATATATTATATCTTATTTTATTTGTAACTTTGTTCTATTTTATTTATCTGTGCTTGTAATTTGTTTATTTGTTCTTATTTTATTACTGATGGTTCACTTGTCTTTACAAATGTTTGACTTTTATCAGTTATGTTAATAGGCGCCGATCCGTGGGTGCAAACTATCCAGTGCATATTCATGTTTTTGTTCAGTGCTGAGTTATGCTTGTGAATCCTGTCATTATAACAAAACTTCGTAAGACTGTGATAAACTAAAGAGGGGTTGCAGCTTTTTTGTGATTATAAAGGGAGTGCTTTTTGTGTATAAAAATGGGCCTGTATAAAACTTGTGTTTGGGCAGCTTTCATTATCAGTAGCTCATATTTAGGCGATCACATGGAGTTTTATATGGCAGTAGGAATATAATGAGCAGGATATTTGTTCATTTCCTCCGTGAAAATCTCTATGTACAGTAAACATCTATAGTTAATGTACATGGGCTTCATCCAATATACTTGTGCATTTGTTGATTTCATCTTATGTGTGGATTATTTGGTTTTATTTAAAAAACAGAAGCATGCTGAATGGACTCTGATGTGAATCTCTGGTTTCAACAGCTATGATAAATAATAAACATGATACAAGGCTGGCTAATGTTAACTTTATTAACATGGGGTGAGGGGGTTGGGTGTTATGCAGGTTGGCCACCCACTGGCAGAAACATAAATTGGCACCTGTGGTTATGCTACTAGTTTTTGCTGTGGTATCAAAGAAGTACTTAAAGTTTTCTTTAAATAATAAGTGTTCTTTGAATAATAAAGAATTTTACATTTTGCTCATCTGGAAAATTATCCGATCTGTGACTTAAAATCGTTAATATGATCCGTACTGTGAGTTTTGTGATCCGTTGCACCCCTGCTCTCTTGACTCGTTATTTGAAGAAAAATACAATCATGGAAGTTTTTGATCATGCTGGTTTGTCTGCAGAGAAGTTCAGCCAATGTTTTTTTATTTGGGCTAATTAAATTCATTTTGGGCTACCAAAATCTGAAGAATGCCTGCCCGAAGGGCTACCAGGGATTTCGAAATTTTTCAAGCCCTGGTTTGACAACCCTTTTTGTAGCACACCTCAATGCTCAAGTGCACAGGAAACTGAGTGCTTTAAAGTATAATTTACTTAATCTAATAGACAGCACTCAGACAAGTTGTTGCTTATTTCTCTAGGTTAACTCATTCATGTTACAATCAAATGATTAGTTTTCTCTTGATTTTCTCTTATGTTCAGGGTGAAGCGACTTGGCTACTTTGATCATACTCAAAGGCAGCTTGGAGAGAGAGCCTTGTATGTGTTTCCTGCCAAGAGTGAAACTACACGGATCACCTGTGAGGGGCCAGATGGGGCATCTGCTCATCCTGAGGACCCTGTTGTTCGAAAGGTACAGTTGATTTGGCCATATCTGGTTTGTTTTTTTGAAAAACAAATTTTTTGTTGTTAGAAGACATAAATGTCTAAAGTATCAATACCGCTGCACAGAGAAGTTGATACTTACAGTATTGGTAGTAAAGAGTACCTGTTTTTCTGTGGTTTAGAGCTTGCAGTGTAAATGCAGACTAATAGATCTACAGCTCTTTTTTTATTATTATTAATTTTTAATATTAATCTAAAAAGAGTATGGACAAGAAAATGAGAATACTATTGCTAGTTGAACAACATAAGTAGCTTTAATTAAGGCCTCTACAATCAAAAATGAACAGAAGAACAGTAAAATTAATTTTCTGTTAAACTGAATGTCAACACTGAATCTGTATTAATGTTTACTTCGTTGTAAATTATAAAGCTTTTTTCTGATGAAGGTTTCTTCAGTAGATGATGCGGTTGAAAATTTTAAACACTGTTTTAGTGATGTTCATTTCGGTTATTTTTCCTAACCGACAACCGACGCTCGTTAACCGATTGTTAACCGTTAACCGACAAGATTATTTTAAATTAGAATTGAATTAAATTAGAAGGGTGTTATGCAGGTTGGCCACCCACTGGCAGAAACATAAATTGGCACCTGTGGTTATGCTACTAGTTTTTGCTGTGGTATCAAAGAAGTACTTAAAGTTTTCTTTAAATAATAAGTGTTCTTTGAATAATAAAGAATTTTACATTTTGCTCATCTGGAAAATTATCCGATCTGTGACTTAAAATCGTTAATATGATCCGTACTGTGAGTTTTGTGATCCGTTGCACCCCTGCTCTCTTGACTCGTTATTTGAAGAAAAATACAATCATGGAAGTTTTTGATCATGCTGGTTTGTCTGCAGAGAAGTTCAGCCAATGTTTTTTTATTTGGGCTAATTAAATTCATTTTGGGCTACCAAAATCTGAAGAATGCCTGCCCGAAGGGCTACCAGGGATTTCGAAATTTTTCAAGCCCTGGTTTGACAACCCTTTTTGTAGCACACCTCAATGCTCAAGTGCACAGGAAACTGAGTGCTTTAAAGTATAATTTACTTAATCTAATAGACAGCACTCAGACAAGTTGTTGCTTATTTCTCTAGGTTAACTCATTCATGTTACAATCAAATGATTAGTTTTCTCTTGATTTTCTCTTATGTTCAGGGTGAAGCGACTTGGCTACTTTGATCATACTCAAAGGCAGCTTGGAGAGAGAGCCTTGTATGTGTTTCCTGCCAAGAGTGAAACTACACGGATCACCTGTGAGGGGCCAGATGGGGCATCTGCTCATCCTGAGGACCCTGTTGTTCGAAAGGTACAGTTGATTTGGCCATATCTGGTTTGTTTTTTTGAAAAACAAATTTTTTGTTGTTAGAAGACATAAATGTCTAAAGTATCAATACCGCTGCACAGAGAAGTTGATACTTACAGTATTGGTAGTAAAGAGTACCTGTTTTTCTGTGGTTTAGAGCTTGCAGTGTAAATGCAGACTAATAGATCTACAGCTCTTTTTTTATTATTATTAATTTTTAATATTAATCTAAAAAGAGTATGGACAAGAAAATGAGAATACTATTGCTAGTTGAACAACATAAGTAGCTTTAATTAAGGCCTCTACAATCAAAAATGAACAGAAGAACAGTAAAATTAATTTTCTGTTAAACTGAATGTCAACACTGAATCTGTATTAATGTTTACTTCGTTGTAAATTATAAAGCTTTTTTCTGATGAAGGTTTCTTCAGTAGATGATGCGGTTGAAAATTTTAAACACTGTTTTAGTGATGTTCATTTCGGTTATTTTTCCTAACCGACAACCGACGCTCGTTAACCGATTGTTAACCGTTAACCGACAAGATTATTTTAAATTAGAATTGAATTAAATTAGAAAAGCGGCATCCTATTTTTCTTTAGGCTTATTTTACAAAAGCACAAAGATTTGTTTTTATTGTGAATGTACACAAATAAAGGCAAACCTTTTACAATTCTGATTATCTTTAGAAGGAACTGTTAGAAGGAAAAGAATTCAAGTGATTGCGCCGGCGCCGCATGCACACACAGTTACGCATTGCTACCTTGACAATGCAGTCTGTTCATTATCATAATAAAATACAGTCAGTCAACCATATGGAAAAAAACTATGTAGTAAAAAAACTATGTAGTAAAATCTGTTAAGCCGTTAAGGTTAAGCGTTATCACTGTACCGCCGTGATGTTATGCAAAACATTTTGTTTTACGTGGATATTGGAACGTGAGTGAAGTACATAATAAATAATAATTTGCCATTCAAATACATCGCGAATACGGAAACATTTTGTGTGGAATGAGAGACCCAACGTTGGTTTCAGTTTAGTTTTAACCAAAATTAATTCGTTTTGGCTTGTCATTTATATTGCTATAGCTTTTATATTTTTAATTCTTGTTCTTTTCTAAATACTGTTAATTGAAAGGATTTGTTGTGGAGTGAGGGGAACTAAAATAGCCTAGCTATGTTTACAGTGTTTATTATAATGTTTGTAAACATTTCGCGTTGGCATTAGGCCTATTTCTGAATTAAATAATAAAATGTGACTTAATATGCGACTTATGTTCTTTTTTCCCTAAAAACAATTTTTTTTATACGCGTAGTGTATTTTAACCATGCAGCAAACCGTTTTAAATATTTTTATAAATTACTGAAAAAATAAATAATTAAATTACTTTTTAAACCGTTTAACTGATTGTATTAATCGGTCAGAATTCTTACCGTCGGTTAAACGGTTAAAATGAACATCCCTACACTGTTTACTTCATTTGTATCTTTGTTCTGTTATGTTATTGCTTGTAATTTATCTTTTTATGGACTGCATATCCATCTTTAATTATTACTTGAAAACTTGAAACAATTTCTATTTAATTAAAACATGCGAATAGTTTAATCAGTTAGTTAAAATATGACTAACCTGGTGTTAGTCAAAACTAACTAGTTTTCTAAATGGAAAGAAATTGTTTTTCTTGCTTTTTGATCATTATTATTTGTTCATTTTCAGTTAAAAAGAATGTTTAAAAAGGAAGTGGGAAAGAAAATTACAGAAAATGCAGACACACAGAGTAACAATTCAACAGAGAAAATGGATGGCATGGAAGGTACTGCACTTGTCATTATCGTGTTAACCACAAACTGAGCTGAATTGTCAATAGTCAGCATGGTCCACATAACTGTTGTTTCACTGTGCTGTTTGAATAGGTATCTGATTATGCAACTTTTTGGATATTTCGGTCTATGTTTACCTTTTTAGATGCTAAGAAATTGTCAAATTGTTTGAACCATGTCTTATTCTCCAGGTGAAAAGAGATCAGTGCAGGAACAGGACTGTCCTGATGATAATTCTGTTCCATGCTACCCCAACAATGGTGCTGTTCCATGCCAGGATGCTCTAGAGGAGGGAAAAGAGCCACTGGATGTTCTTCAGGGACAATGTGCCCATTTGGGGGAACAAGAGTCAGATGAGGAGCCAGGGGATGATACAGATGATACCAGTTCTGTCACTTCCTCTGCCAGCTCAACAGCCTCACTGCAGAGTGGCCCAACCCGAAAAAAGAGCATCCCCCTCTCTATACGCAACCTAAAGAGAAAGCACAAGAAGAAGAGAACGAAGTTTTCACGCGAGTTTAAACCAGGAGACAGGTGAAAGAATCCACAAACAAATGTTTCATTGATTTCTGAGTTCGAAATGAAAATCTAAACCAGCTGTGTTGTGTATCATAGTGCAATACCTGCAGAATTACCCATGATATTATATAATATTCCTGGTGGAATGACCTGCCCAACTCAATCAGAGCAGCTGAGTCCTTAGCCATCTTCAAGAATCGGCTAAAAACACATTTCTTCCATCTTTATTTGACCCTCTAACTCTATTACTCTCAAATCTAATACTATTCTTTAAAAAAAAAAAACATGCCCCTTTTAGACTTGCACTATATTCATTTACTAACTGCTTGTTTTCTTTAAAAAAAATTCTTTTTCTATTCTAAGCTATTTTCTTTTTATTATATAATCAACAAAAAAAAACCTTGCTACGTGTACTGCATTAAGCTAACTGAGACTTGTTATAGCACTTGCATATCATTGCTCTCTTGTTGATTTTGATTGCTTCCATTGTCCTCATTTGTAAGTCGCTTTGGATAAAGCGTCTGCTAAATGACTAAATGTAAATGTATATAAACATCTCACAGAATTGATTAATATGGTTGCAAATTGACAAACAATTCTGAATAATAGATTTGAATGAACTTCGATTCTGGTTAGGGTTATATGGCCTGTTTCACACATACTGCATGAGCAGGGCATGAGTAGTGTGTTTTTTTATTTTTTTTATTTCGATGCCCATATTAACAAATTACACTAGTAGTGTAAGCCATGTGGTGTTGCACCTTTAAAAGGGTTCCCAGACAAAGCAGTAAAAGGATAAATAGGTGTGGCACCACAAACATTACAAATAACCCATTCTGAACTCTGCTATGTGCAAAAAACTAAAGCATCAGGAGATTAGAAAAAACAAGGGAAAACATTGAATAACATTTGAATGCTGAATGCAGAAAATTGAAGCAGCTAGCACTAGATTGGGGTTCTAGGTAAGTTATTTACTATTGTGTTTTAAATATCACCCCTCCCAAACCATTCTGTATTTTATTGTCATTATTAAAGGAAATATTTATGAGATGCAAATCTGTTGCACAGAAGAGACATTGCCAGTGTGAACACCCAACACAACCATGCTGCTCATGCAGGAGACATGTATAAAATGTCTGTTCTTTCAACATTTTGAGTAGAACACCGTAGTAAAATAATCTGAAAGTAAATTAATGTGAAGAGAGAGTAAGGCTAAGCTTGCAATAGTAAAATGGGGGGAAAAAAATATTGGTCCAGTTTGCACTACATATGACTTTTATGAACCATGTCTTTTTAATGAATTAGTCAAAATGAGTCACAGGCGAGCTATCTAAAAGTCACTCCCTGAACTGCAGGCCATTTACTTTTGGTAATAAATTTACTAATAAATGTACAGTTATAATGTGCAGTTAAGCATGATTAATCAAATCATTAAGTTGGATTACAACCAAAATTCTTAAAATTAGGATCTCTCCAAAATTGTTACGATTCCCAGCCTGTATTGAGCATGTCGTTTTGTTGTCGATGCAATTAACATTTTGATGTGTATGCAGTGAGACTAGGGACGATATAATGAAACCTTGCTAAGCTCTATATGGATTCACCTGTCTTTCATAGTATGGAGAATGACTCAGGAGACGTGTGATGTTATATCTCCTTGTCCTTTTGAAAATGTTCTTGATATGCATTTGTAGTATCTGTCATTTTCTTTCCAGCTCACTGGGAGAGAGGCAAATTTGCATCATATTAAGAAAATACCACAAATGACACTCCATTTTTAATAGTAATAATAAAGACATCATATACCTGTTAACTGTTAAAGGCCATAAAAAATAAGATGATCAGATATTATGACAAGACCCATCTAAAAGTTCAGAATATTTCATATCATATTTCTGTCAAATGAAATAAGACAGCAATTAAATAGACTCTCAAATGGTTTGTCTGTTTGTGCATAGGGTGGCAGTTGAGGTTGTCTCCACTGTAACTTCTGCAGATGTAATGTGGAAGGATGGTAGATTAGAGACAGGGATCCGCTCCAATGACCTGATCCCTATCCAGCACCTGGACAACCATGAGTTCTGCCCTGGAGACTACGTTGTAGACAAACGATGTATGTTCTCTTTTTTTTTTAACACAATTGTGCAATTTTCAATATGGCTTTTGATTTGCATGTTTCATGCCCTTATTGGCATGAAACATGCAAAAAAAACATGCTCCTTAGTGGAGCAGTCCTTATTAGGTTGTTTACAATTGACTTGGCAATTAGATCTTTTAGTCACAACAAGTGATTGCTTTTTACTCACTTGAAATAAACTTTGATTGTGGTTCCTGCAGCCCAGGCTTTTCAGGATCCAGGCATCTATGGAGTGATTCAGTCAGGTGACCATAAGGCCAGAACCTGTGTAGTCAAGTGGGTCAAACTGAATGCTGCAGGCGACGATGTTGAGGTATTTTTGTTTTTAGCGTTGAGGTGTTTGGGATTGTCTGTTTTCATATTATTTAACAAATAATCTTGTATATGTAGGTGATTGGGGAAGAGGAGGACGTTAGTGTTTATGACATTGCTGATCATCCAGATTTCCATTTCCACACAACGGATATTGTCATAAGGATTGGCAACTCTGACACAGAGGACTGTGAAAATGAGGTACAAAAATTGTTTTGCATTTAGGAAAATTTAAGAGAACATTTCCTGGCTTACCACATTGTCAGTGTGTGTTTATATGAAGTGACTCTGATTATGTAGTTTAAAATGTAACTCCTGACTCCTCTGTGAGTTTTGCCTAGAGTTTGATATCTCTGAATCTCATAGTAAATTTTATTCAAGTGCAATTTTTTATGTGGACAATATGTCTTGGTGCCTCTAAAGGTAGTTAGATAGTTCTACCTTGTTATTTGCAATTTTTGTGTTCTTTGGTTTTCATTCTCCTTTTGCCTCAACTGTAATGTAGAGATCTGTTGGCCAAGTGTGCAGGGTGGATCTGAGCAGTAAAGTGGAGGTTGTGTGGGCTGATAATTCTAAGACAATTGTCCTGCCACAGGTATGCACCAGTTTACTCAAACTGATGTAATGATCTTGCTACTGTAAAAGCACACATCCACCTATAGACCTTAGAGCTAACACTTATTTATTCTTTCTCTCTCAGCACTTGTATAATGTCGAGTCTGAGATTGAAGAAACATATTATGACTCTGCAGAGGGCAGCAGTAGTGGTGCCTCATCTGAAGAATGGGAAGATGAGAGTGATAGCTGGGAGACAGATAATGGGCAAGTGGAAGAGGAACCAGGTGCTGGGGAAACCATCCCAGACTCCTCCCCCATTACAGGTGCCACTGCTGATGGCAAAACCCATGGCGTGCATGCCTCCACGACTACAGACTCACCAGGAGCTGTCCCCACTCCTGAACTTCCTGGAGGTATTGAATTCTCTTAGTTATATTGCAGAATTAATATCGGATAAAATGTTCTCTTTGGTGCATTGACATTAAACACATCACATTCACATTACAAAAGAAACAAAATGGATAGATGCCAAACGTCCAGAATTGCCCAGCAATATAGACCTCACAGAGTATTTATCCATTTTAAGTGAGACTCCAGACTGTAAAGAGTATAAATGTTTGTCAAATTTACCAGTAGTTATTGTGCACCACCAGAATACTGCACAGAGTTCACCCGAAATGTAAAATTGTTTTTTTTGTAAATTTTTTTGAAATTGAAGGGAAGCTCTGGGCCCCATGTACTCTGTTCCCACCTTTCCCCCTACTAGTGATGCCCATGGACATCTCTGCAACATCAAAGACAGACAACACTAAATACAGAATTTTATCAACTGTAGATATCCTCTGCTCATTGGTTAGGGAACAGTGAACACATTGTAGCAATTATTTTTATTATTTTTGCTTGCTCAGGTGGAGGTGGAGCTGCACCTGAAGAGAAACCCAGTAAAGAGACTCCGCCACGTGGCTTCCGTGAGCTTAAAGAAGCCCTGAAAATTTTGGAAAGTTTAAAGAACATGACTGTTGAGCAGCTCTGGACCGGATCACCGACCTCTCCCACTGCCGAACCATCAGCCACAAGTGCTGCCACAACCCCCGCCGATGCCAAACCCACGAAAGAAAAACGCTTTTTGGATGACATTAAGAAACTTCAGGAGAACCTGAAGAAAACTCTAGACAATGTGGCCATTGTAGAAGAAGATAAAATGGAGGCTGCCATTGAGGAGGAAAAAGTGACGGCGCCAGTGCTAGCTGAACCACAGACGCCTGTGCGTTCTGAGTGGCCTAGTGACACGCCAGTTTTGTGTCAGCAGAGTGGAGGCAAACCGGGTGTCACCTTCACCAGTGCTAAAGGGGAAGTGTTTTCTGTTTTGGAATGGGCACCAGGTACAGACACCAGCAAATCTTTTATTTTATGAACAAATAACATTTACAATTATCGACTTGCTTCTGCATATGTAGTACCTTCTCATATGAAAAATATATAGTGATTTATAATGATAATAGTGTGTTCGAATTTAAATATGAACAAAAATCAGTACGTTTTCAAATATCACATCATACATTTATGCATTTAGCAGACGTTTTTACTCAAAACGACTTGCATAGTATTGAAGGTACACATTTACATTTTAATCAGAGCTATCAGTGCCATGCACTGCTGTTTGAGCTACAGGAAATCTTGTCTGAGTTTCATTCCAGACGCTCTCTAAAATGACCTCTGTTTCTCACCATAGACACCCACTCGTTTAAAAAAATGGAGTTCCAGCCAGCAGAGGCAAAGAAGTTCTTTAGCACTGTAAGGAAAGAAATGGCCCTGCTGGCCACCTCTCTGCCTGATGGCATCATGGTGAAGACTTTTGAGGACAGAATGGTAAGTGTCCCTTGCACACAATCTTTTTATGAACATATTTGGTTGTTGTATTTGGTTTATTTTGCAATGTATGAAAAACAAAAAATGTGAAATATGATTTGTTTCTTCAATTAACCTTTCCTCTTGTTTTTCTCTTCAGGACCTTTTCTCAGCTCTCATTAAGGGCCCTAACCGCACTCCCTATGAGGACGGACTCTTCCTTTTTGATATCCAGCTTCCTAATATATATCCTGCTGTTCCTCCTCTCTTCCGTTACCTCTCTCAGTGCAGCGGGCGACTTAACCCAAACCTCTATGACAATGGGAAGGTTTGTGTCAGTCTTCTTGGCACCTGGATTGGAAAGGTAAGCTGACCTAGTCTCTGATCTAATTTCTGGATAATATACTCCTGGTGGTTTTGAACTAGCCACCTTTTTGCATTTCCTTTGATCATTCTTCATTGTTACTATGTTGGATGACTTTACTTTTTGTCATTTCATGGGGTCATATCCTAAATTATTTTTACATGTCTGTTAAATTCTCTCTGACCACTGGAATGAAATAGACCATTCTTTGCTACTGTACCAGCTAGGCTACTGTATAGCTGTGTCCGAAATCACTCACTCATTTACTCATTCACTAATCCCTATATAGTGTATGGCAGTTTAGTGCACTATATCAGAAAGGAGTGAACAAAATGAAGTGAGCGAATTCAGACGCTGACGTATACACTGCGTGCGAGAGAGCTGGAGCTGTCACAGAAACATTCGTCACATATGTACATTTATATTACATGTACCTTATTTTAGAAAATAGTATTAATAAGAATAACACTCGCAATGACTTTATATTGTAATTATACATACCTCCGCACCAGCTTTGTGGTTTCATCGATGGTATATTATTAGGCCTAACTTGTTTTGTAATGCTTAATATGTTTGTAATAATTACATACTATTAAAATATTGGCAACAAAAATAAACACATTACACAAACATACTGTATAACACATACATTTTATGTACTTAGTATTTTTAGTGTCTTGAAACTCTCCCTAGCAGCGTTTTGTGCTCAGATACAATGACAATGTTCGTAGACCGCCCTCAGGTGACCGTTAATTTTACATTAGAATGAATACGCCACATACAGGTGATTAACGAATACCACTTCAGTAAATTAGTGCACTACATAGGGGATAGGGAGCGGTTTCGCACACAGCTTAGTGTTTAGTATTCTTCAAAAGATCTATATGAAATTTTTCAGTGACCACTCTGTTATTAGTATTAATGAAAAAAAAGCACAACTTAACTTTAGCACTAGATACCCTCCATTGCATTGTTTGAATATAGGTCAATGTTGAAGTGTGATTTTTGTAATGTTTCCTTTCACAGGGTACTGAAAGATGGACAAGCAAATCCAGTCTGCTGCAAGTGCTTATCTCTATACAAGGTTAATTAAAAACTACTCCTATTATGCCCTTGTTAGTGTCTACTTGTTAGTGCTACTTTTTTGGAACCCAGTCAGCACAGTTATTATTGTACTGTAATAACTGGGGTTATAATGGACAAAAAAATTTAAATACAGTATATATTCTGAAAATTAAAGTTCGATGAGCATCTGCAAAATTCTGTGAAAAGGGCAGATTGCTTTAAGGCAGTAGGCAGAACTTGATACCACAATTTTGGCTTCGGTATGATACCAGAATTTAATACCTCATTATTGATACTAAATCGATACCATAGGTGACAAATAAGCAGCCTCAAAAGATAACTGAATTAAAAACAGTTTTATTAAGAGCACTGCGTGAAACTCTGCAGTAACAAATGCACTGTTGTGTAAATATTTTGTCTCCACCCCTTCAGGTCTGATCCTGGTCAACGAGCCATATTATAATGAGGCTGGCTTTGATAGTGACCGAGGCCTTCAGGAGGGTTACGAGAACAGTCGCTGCTACAATGAGATGGCACTTATTAAGATGGTACAGTCAATGATTCAACTTCTTCAGCAGGCTGTGGAGGTCTTTCAGCAGGAGATCTGTGAGCACTTTGCCTGCAGCGGCTGGCGACTGGTCCGTCGGCTGGAGTCCTGGCTAGAGTTGGATGAGGCAGTGACTGACCGTGCTTTACGTTGTGGTGTAAGCAGCCTCCATGGAGAACCTCTGGAAGAGATCCCGTCAGCTCTGGCCTACAGCAGCCCAAGCAAGCAGGATGTGCGAAGTGAAGAGGAGCTCGAGGACTCTGGTCTCAGTCCCTCCACAGTGGGGCCTAGTGGGCCTCCTGGTTCAGATGGGCAGCGGGACCTGAGCCAGAATTCTGAGTATGATAGTTCAGTTGTGGGTGGTGCAGGATCAGAAATACCAGAAGGTTCTGAAGAGGTGTTGGGTTTTGTGACATCACAACAAAGTGTAAAACCGTATCAGGAGTCTCAGCCGGTTGTAAGACCAAAGAAACGGAGAAAGAGCTATCGCAGCTTCCTTCCGGAGCGCAGTGGCTATCCAGATATTGGATTCCCACTCTTCCCTCTTTCCAAAGGCTTTGTGAAGAGCATGCGCGTAGTTTTGCAGCAGTATCGAGCTACTCTCACAGCTGCTGGTATTCCTGAAAACAAATAATTGCCCTCCAGCGTAATTTTCCCCTTTTTTTTCTCCCATTTTTTTCAACCCAAGAGCTACACTTTTACCCTTTAATCCTTTGTCCAGGATCTTGGATCTGCTCATCAGGCCGCTAATGTTCCTAGCAGCCTTTGTTAATTGCTTTGTAACACATCTGTAGTTGCTTCATTTTTTTGTTGCCTCTCATTGGTCATAGGGTGGCAGCACACATTATTTGTTTCTATTAAAACAATGTTGAAATTTCATATGCTTCTATCTTGTTTCCTTGACAACCACCCTTCCGCCACACTGCTCTCTCAGGGAAGTATGGACAAAACAGATGGATGTGAGACTTTAGGAGATATTGAGGCATGACTGAAGCTTTTGTTGTGTTGTGACTTTTCAAGATTTGTGGGTATAAACCGTACTAGAGGGATTGGATTTATTGTGCCATGGGATGCTCCAAATGGTCTTAGGCATTGTCATTTGCTACTATGGGGAGGACAGAAACTTTTTTTTTGATGGGATCATCATCAAACTCTCACCACATAATGGTTTGCACAAGTTGAAGGAAGTTCATTTGCAGAAAAAAATAAGGATGCTATTTTCAATTTTTCCAAAAAGTTTCAGATCAGATGTGTGATTGTTGTCCTTGGTTAATCAAATAATTATATTTCCCAGCATGGCTTGCTCTCTGGTTCATATTTTCATGTTAGTGGGCTAACATTGCATTGCTTTTCAGTCTTGATCAGTATCATCATTCTTTTAAAAGTGTTGGTGACTTGCTTTTTAATCCAAAAAAGTAAAAGTGATACAACTGCCCAGTCATCCATACTGTACAGACCCTGATCATTCCTGCTGGTGTTTTGCACAGAAATCACATGAAAGTTGAGTGTCAAGTTTACATTTAAAAATAACAAAGCAACCAGACACACTAAACTATCTGACTCAAGAAACTGGAATCTAACATCCACTTTCTCTGTCCCTCCACCTCCAAGGCACAACAGAGAAAGATTTTCAACATTAACTATTGTTCTCTGTACAGTACATTATTTAAATCTTTTCTTACACTTTTGCCATAAATGCATACATATCATGAATCCAGTTTACATGTGTGTAAATATACAATGGGACCTTTAGTATGTGGCAGGTCAGTCTTCTAGGGGTCTGTTTGACCGGTCCTGAGAGTCTTAATTAAACAAATTACTTTAAGAGGTTTAGCAGCCAGGATTCAGACGTTTTGAGCTGAGTTTGCATGAAGGTTTCTTGTATGAATACTGATAAGTTCGACTGGTCACATCCCTAACTCTTTCCTCTGACCAACATTGTTGCCTTAAAACTGATTTCAAGCTTGACCCTAGGTTCCCCTATTTACCGCATTATACCTGTCATTTTCTATTAAGGGGCCCAGTCAGTCGCACTAGTTATGATGGAGAGGTGTAAATGTTACTAATTATTTTCACAAGCACAATTCAAGAAGTCGTATTCTTTAGACAACTGTGAAATGGTTTGTTTGTATATTTGCCTATCTGAAATTGCCTCTCTCTCTCCCTCTCTCTCGCTCTCGCTCTCTCTCTCTCTCTCTCTCTCTCTATATATATATATATATATAATGTTTTTTGGGGGGATTGACACTATTTAACCAACTACCAACTTTTTTCCAACACCATATGTATCTCTGTGACATGATTTAGATGCTGTGATTTAGAAGCTTGATATTAATCCTGGTGCTGTTGTACTCCAGACCACTAGGAGGCAGCAGACTAGTTTCAGAATGAGCAGTTTAGACCTCACTCTTCTGTTTACATCAATATAAGGCCAGCTGTAATTAAAGCACAGCCTTCAGATAACTCTCTTTTACGTGCTGTTGCTCTTTGTGATGCAGTACTTGAGAAAAGTACACCCAGCTTTATATGGATATGGAGTCATCAGGCTTTTTTACATTTAACAGACCCTAGTAATTTACTTAGTTTTGCATAGAAGTGATTGCACATAATTACAATTGTTTCTGCTTGAAGACACATCGTGTTTCTTAACGAGTTGTGAGCAGCTGGCTGATTTTTCTTATTTTTTTCTCTGTAGTTTGGCTATTGGGCTTGATAGCAGATGTGTAGAGGTAATAAATGCTAACTTGCAGAAAAATGTCTTTTCAGTATACGTCTTTTGAAAGATAGAAAAGAAAAAGAAATCTCTGGCTGATGGCTTTGTCATCTTGGATAAGATATTCTCATACATGTTTCCATGCATAAAAGTTTCTGACAGTGAGATATTTTTGAGATGTTCTAGATACAATTATTTATCTTGTTTTCTTTTGAATTTGTAGCTTATTACAGTTTGGCATTTGGAGAGTACAAATGCGTTATCAAAGAGTTCATATGCATATTCCCTCAGTTGACCGATATTAAACACTAATGCCGAGTTCAAACTGCAGGATATTAGCCCGATTTTTCACTCGCCGACAGGTTTTGTGAAATCGCATCCGACGAGTTTGAAAATCGTGCAGTGTGAACTCTGCATAAGTTGAAAGCTCTTCCACTACACACTTCATCGGTTCAGCCCTCCATGATTCAATTTCAGTACATTTCCTGCATTTCAGTACTGAAATGTGAAGCTAAGTCTCAAAGAATCAAACATCAACCTTAAACTTTGAACTATTTTCTGTGTATGTGTACAATACTCTGAATTTAATCACTATTATGAGGAGAGGTAACAGCCAAAGCATGTAACATGTTGCTTTAAGCCTTAACGGCTACACAAGACTTGACCGTACAATGTAAACATTTCCACAGTGGCCTGTATTGGTAAACTAATAAACATGATTTGTAGCCTGAATTCTTCGTACAGAAGTCATGCCTATATATAATGTATATATTATATATTTAACAGAAAATTGAGTCCTAAGTGGTCATGTGTATGCTTGGGGTGTATTGAAGCGTGCGTGTTGTATTTTTATTTTATTTATTTTTTTTCTTTCATTTGTATTTTTTATTTTGCACTAAACCATGTAAAAAGTGAAGCATTACATTTTTTGCAAGCAGAACCATGGCAAAATATTGTGAACTAACCTGTTTTGTACTTGATTTTGTACTTTTTTTTTTTTCAGGAATTGATTGTCCATCAGAGAAACAAACAAAATAAAAATCTGAAGAATAACAACACGCATTTAAACAAACTTTTATTAAAACAAATAAATAATAATAAAAAAAATAAGAAAGGAAGGAAGACAAAAACAAATGCTACCTTTTTTGTTTTGACTTTCCAATAGAAAAGGTTCAAGAGTGGGGGAGTAATTGTCATTACTCTGACCATATTGGATACAAGAATTTAAATTGTAGAAAAGAAGTCAGCCACTCATTCCATAAACACCGAGTTGAACGGTAAAGCTGCTCTGGCATCAAATTTTATCTTGGTAGTAGTATTGTTATGATACATCCCTAACATGCTGTTTATTGTTGCTGTAGAGTGATATTAGTAAATGTATTCATATTTTGATGTACAAGAATCAGATGTATCTTAGTATAATTTTGTGATGTTCACTATTGTAAGATATTTCTTATTTTGCTGTTAAGGCACATCAAAGATTTAAAAAAAAATGACATCTTAATACATTGTTTGCATAGTTACACTGTAAATTGAATATCTATATTATAAATAAGTCACAATCATTACTCAATGCTGAGCTATATAATAAATTGCAAATTTGTTTCCAAAGAAGTATTTGTTAAATTGCTTCAAAGCATACAGTACGTCTGGGTAAGGTGCATTTAGGCACACATAAGGTCATACTTCACTTTTGATCAATAATTGATAATTGATCAATACAGTAAATACAAAAAAAATAAATACAAAAACAGTCCAGCAGCCAGCCTAAGATAACATTTTATATAACAAAGACCCAGACCAGGGGCCTCATTTATAAAATGTTGCGTATAAACCGTCCTAAATGTGTTCTAAGATCATTTCTCAAAAGTGCGTAAGTGCGATTCAGAGAAAACGAGCGTGCGCACAAAAACACGTGCCTCTCTTCCAGATGTGACATTTATAAATCGCAAATGATCTTGAAATTGTGCGTAGCTGACTGGTGTCAGATCTCCGCCTTGTAAACGCCCCCTAATTAATATTATTACCATATAAAAGAGCACACGCCAATATCCGAATTTCTATGCTTGAGAATGACGAGCACAAAGAAAAAAAAACTTTACTGAGGTCCTGCTGGCGGAGGTAGAGGTTCGTGCGGGGACGCTTTTTATTTAATAATGTGTAATTATTCTGTGGACAAACTGTGTGTATTATATTTTTTTTCGATTGACTATTATCAAAATTACTACTTCTAGAAACAACAGAAATAATAATAATAATAATAGTAATTATAAAACAATTAGGTTTCCAAATTTAAGAATAAACTACGAATTCAAGTAAAATTCAGTTATCTTATTAAAAAGTGAGCCATCCTAATTTTAAAAACACTTGCTATGACAACTAATAAAAAATATATCATGAAATTCTTGCAAAACTTTAAAAAAACATTGAAAGAAAAATTGGACGTTTCATATCATAATAAAATTAATTATTACACCATTATGGTCTCCAGTCTGAAGAAAACCTGCATGTGATTTGGCATTTCTTTATATTTACACCGTTTACTAATGCTGCTCAAATGTGCCATTAATGTACTGACACAAAAATATACATTTTCACAGAAGCAAAGCAGCAGATGTTATAAATAAAAACGGTTAGCAATGTTATTGAATAGAGTATATTAAAACCGTTATTGCACGACATAGGCCTATTCTTATAGGCTACACAGACAAAACAGTCGGAGATGCGTTTATGCATTTTTTTTCTGTTTTACGCATTAATAGGCTAGTGAATCAAGACTTAGCAAGTTCTCTTGTAAACTAAAATAATAATAAAAAAACGGAATAAACTGTACAGTAAATAACTCTCAACATTAGGCTACTAAAAAGGTCCGTTTAATCTCGCACAAACTCCCGTTAATAAAAAAATCTGACTACACTGCACAATTAATCTCTTACACTGAATCTTTGTTGTTTATGAGGAATTCGGTGCTTGCACGTACAGCGCTTTTATTATTATTATTGCAGCTTAGATGTACAAATAGCCGCAGTACTCCGATTTTGTCACAAGGAAATGTGCGTACGCCTGCTCAGACCCTGACGTGGCGGTAAGTACTTTTCCACGTCAAAGACAGGGTCTGAGCAGACGTACGCACTTTTGTTTGCCCGAGTGCTGCAGGTTTTTGGAAATATAAGCCATTCTTGCCGCTTATAAAAGAGCACCTGACAATGTCCAAATCTTTTACAAGTCAAGGACATTAATTAGACATTGTTTACAGGGCGGAGATCTGAAACTGTTCAGCTGCGCACAATTTCAAGATCATTGCAATTTATAGATTTCTCATCTAAAAGAGGCGTACGCACGTTTTCTGTGCGTACGTTCGTTCTATGAATCACACGTACGCACTTTGAGAAATGATCGTAAAATCAAATTTAGGATTCTTTCTACGCAGTATTTTATAAATGAGGCCCCAGGTCACTTGTAAAGCTTTATAATGCAAGTAACCATCCCTATACATATGTATGAGGTACTAACAGCTGAGCCTCTTTATCCCCACAGATTGTTAGTTAAAGCAGTCTTGTATTTTTCTTAATGATGTTCAATATATTTGAACACATTGCTGTGTTCATTTGACATTTAGACTAAGGATAAGAGATGTTTGATAACAGAAAATGCACCACTAAAGCATCATAAAAGTAGTTCATTTGACTAATGCACTATTATATTCCAAGTACACAGTTTATGGTACGGTAGCGCTGTGTAAGGCACAGACAAAAATGTAATTTGTCAATGATATTCTGCCCTTCCACCAACACTAAGAAATCGACTAATGTCATGTAGACATCAAAAAATGCCAATAGTTTAGTGACCATATGTTTTAATGTCAGTGGAACCTTAGTTGATTTCAGAACTATGGCACAGGGGAATATTTTCTGTAAATAACTTGAATTTCAATTACGATTTTTGTTTGTCACATTAAAAAACCTATTATATAGCTTCAAAATACTTGTGAAACAATGCACGGGGCAGATTTGTTACTTTTATTTATTTCATGGCTTGATAGCCCTAGTCCCCTTCTACATTCATTACATGTGAAAAAAAAAAAAATGCCAGCACCATATTGGTTTTGTCACCCAGCTATGAGTCTTGCCAGGCTGCCATGAATTTGTGCCTGTACCGGTCCATAATCTACCAGCTCTCCATCCACAGTAATGATCCCTTTGGGTGAGTATGGTTCAAGACGTAGAGCCTTCACTTTAACATAAACCACATGAGGGCAGTTTGTGTTAAGATGACCTCCATTTTCCATTGCTAGGAATAGGTGCAGGAGAGATCTGCGAGAGATACCTGCCTTCACATAAATCAGGTGGATTATGCCATCATCGAGTCTGGAAGCAGGTGCAGCCAACATGTCTTTTGCAAGGTGGGACTGGTACATGGCCACAACTAGAACAAAATCCTCATCTTGAACCACTGTCCAGTGTCCTGGTACCGGCTGGTTGAGGGGGTTGAGTAGGAAGTCCGTAGGACCAAATACAGACAAAGGTGATGGGTTGGATTGCTTTGACTTGGGAGTATTGTTGGAGTTGCTGGAATTTTGGAGAGTGTGACCAAGCAAGTCATTTAAAGGACAGCAGGAATCAGAGTTAGACTGGGGCAATCTGTGTCTAAATGTTGCAGTTGAATCCACCAGACTAGGTTGAGACATGGGGTTCTCTATGGGTAAGTAAGCTAGTTTCCCCCTATACACTCTTAGCGAAGCCAGACGAACCATGGTTCCCACTGTAAATCGGGCAGCTCCCACATGGCGATACTTCTCACTTTCAATGTCTACATCAGCCACAAAGCCCCAGGCCAGAGACAGGAAGGAGAACAAGCGTTGACTGGACGCCAAGCAGACAGATGTGAGGTCCAGTTGTGACACCAGGCCTTTACATAAGATGAAGCCACAACTGATCAACAGCTCCTCACTGGACACAGCTTGTAAACTGGAAAACAGCCATAAGCAACATTAGTCACCATAACCCTATATGACAAAAGCTTCTCTATCGTGCATGTACAGTAAGTGCACTGACAATCTAGCAGACTGTTTTTCCCAATTATATATGCTATATTTGTTGAAACTTGAGTTGTTTTTTTTTTAGCTGCTGAATGTTACAAATTTCAGGTTGGAAATTCAGTTCACCTTCAACAAAGCCAAAGAACACAGAAACGATTCATATGCAGTTAGATACACTGTACAATTTTTATGGTCCTTCACAATTGTTGCCTGTCAGACTATTTAATATGACCTAAGTGAGATCTTGGGTAAAAGCCATGGGATATTGCACAACTGCAACAAAATTCCTTGAAGCATAAGATTTATCACAAGGCAACTAGATGAGCAAAGTCTAACTTTGAAAAACTTGAAGTTGGAAAGTGTGAAGGTTAAAAAAGAGTTGCTAAAGTTGTCTTAATAGTTATCTCAAAAGTTATCATTGTACAAAACATAAAAAGCTGTATACCCTTTGAGCTGATAATATATTTAGACAGAGACAGACATGTCAAGCCAACATAATTAAAGCAGCACTATGTAACTTTTGGCGCTCTAGCGGTTAATAAACAGAACTGCACACATCCCGCGGAAGAACATTCCAACCGGAGCTACTTCTATAAGTTTATGTCTATGGCGATTCACGCAGGTATGTGTTACTCCGCAGCGGTGACGACCCGACCAGGCTACAATAGTCCAAATATAAGTACTTATTATAAGTGTACCGTAGTGATTCGGAATAAGACAAAAACGCGGTTTGGAAGATGAATTCATGATGTACTCGCTCATTATATACATTTTGCAAATTTAGAACACAAAAGTTACATAGTGCTGCTTTAAAGAGACTTTTATAAACAGCAAAAGTGTTGGAAAACTGTAACTTACAGTGTAAACTTCAACTAGTGGCTGAAAGAAGCTGAAAGGTTCAAGCCCAATTACCTGTTAATCAAACTCACTGAATGATACAGGACTGTTTTATGTTGGTATTCAGCCCAATGCTAATTTACATGCACCATTGTGTACACTCAGACACGTGTCTTAATGCAGTGCTTTTTCCATGTGCAAAAGTTCATAATCCATTACTCTTGTCAATGATAGATCTTTTTATTTACACTGTGATTAAATTACATTGATAAATGATTGTGGCTGTCACTGGAAGACTATAACGAGCTTGCAATATCAGGGCTAAATTATGATCATGATGTTTGCCATTATTTTCTCCATCTTTGTTTTGCAAAATTTTGCTTAATGCTTCTCTGTGAGAAATGGGATGGGCATAACATGGAAAGCTGATTGTAGCATCCTTTGAGCAATTTGCATTAACACGGACGCGAGCGGTGCGGCGTGACGTAACAAAATACAATAGAACTAGGGGTGTAAAGGCCCGGGTATACTTCACTTTTCGCGTTCCGTTCTGTCTCGCGCACAGCCGCGTCCGCACAGCTTTCGGATGAGCGTGGATTGCCGAGTTCGACACATGCGCAGTACAATTGTTTGGACACTTGTCTATGCTACCTTTTTCTTGCGCATGTACTGTTGTACGCGCACCGTCCGCGCGGTCTCAAAAAATTGCCTGCACCTTATGCCGAGTTCACACTGCACGATTTTAGCCCTATTTTTCACTCGCCGACAAATGCCCGAAATCGGAGGCAAATCGGTGCTCGTTCACCCGAGTGACAATCCCACTGTGAATTATCAAAGACGCGATCTGAGGGAATCGCCGCCACCCGCAAAATATTTGGCATGCTAAATATCTGGAGCTGTCGACCATTCACAATCACGCAGTGTGCAATGATTTCTGACTGAAAACTACATCGGCGATGACCTACAGCCAATGAGAGACCAAGATACAGGGCAGAGGGAAGTTCGGGGAGGAGTTATTGTTCCCTGCATAATCTGTTTTTCTTTTTCTCCTTGTAGCTGGATATCGGCTCACAGACAATTTGTGGGCTACATATATATATTTTTAATAATTACAGTCTTGCTCGAGAACTCCGGTCTGACGCACGTGGGTTCTCGCGTTATTTCCTTATCACTTCTCACGTGTGTTTTGTTGTGAAACGTAGTTTGCGGACCAGACAGAGCTGTCGGCGATTCTTCCTATTGTGAAGTCATGCAGTGTGTAACTTCCTGTCGTCGTTCCATCATGCAATGTGAACACAGCAGCAACTGAATGCCACCCCAGATAGGCACGCAGTGTGAAAACAACGGCGATCCGACGAGTTTGAAAATCGTGCAGTGTGAACTCGGCATTAGATAAAATCAACTGAAATAAAACCGCAGATGATGATTAAAATCCGTGCATCATTCGATCATTCGTTTTTTGATTTAATATTGAAAGTAGAAAAATGAGAAAACGGCTCCTTTTTAATTTTTTTGTTTTTTTTCCAAAAAATTCAGCTTAAATTTTCGTTTTTAGTTCATG